AGTCCTTACTGGACTATAAGTAAGTCAGAGCCATTGGAGGGAGCTTTGCCACGGTCAGAAGGACCCATATCTTGCCCAGGGACGGAGAAATTGGTGTAAAATTGATGTGGTTGCGAAGTCGGGATATGGAATGCTGGATGTCGGAGCTAGCCATCGTCATTCTTTCCTGGCTGAGTGTTGCGGCAAGGGCCCAAGTGACCCAGCGTTCTTGGCTTCCGAGTAGCTAAGGGTTATAAAGCCCTTATAATCATCTCAGGGTCATGTTAAGGGCTTACCTTAATATTTAAATAAGCCCTTATCATTGATAACCCTTAACATTATTTTGCAACACTGAGGTCCACCATGCTCTCCCGACTCTCTGCCATTCGCCGCCTGCCCCACCTCTCGATAACGTCCAAGCGGTTCACATCCAGTCTCAAGGAAGGATCCGTCGCGCAATCCAAGGGATTTGGGTCAGTTCCTCCAGTCTTTGTGGCCCGTCTGACCGTCTCTTGCATTCACTTACACTTGCATCTGCAGAGAAAAAGAACGGGCGCAAGAAAGTGCGCTTAGATTTCGCGGATAACATGAAAGTGCTTAGGACTTGGATTTGATTCACAGACCAATACGCCCATTGACACCAGCAAGAAGTACGCGAGATCGAGAAGTTGAGAGCCGAAGTGCGTCGTGCTTTCCATATTGTCGGTCTTGGTCTTTCCTTACCCCGGTATCGCAGATTGAGAAGAAGAAGAAGGAGCTGGTGAGGCCTTTCTTTTTTTCCCAGACTCCCCCTTTGCAGCCATTGATATTGGCGCAGGAGCAGCTGCAGGTGCGGCATGACGAGTTGCACCAGTCCACGAAAGATTAGCTACATAATTTCGACGCAGACACGGCTGCCTGCTGTCTAATGCGAGATCTAGAATTGGAAACGCCATGAGTCTGTGAGTTTGGAGCCTTTCCGCTGCGGTTCTCCGTCTGATGCAACCGACCAGACCAGTAAATGTCGAGGCCACGCAACAGATACGGATTGATTAGCCTGGGTCAACCTCGACCGGCTCGTTGATTCTGGATTCGAGTGATTGTACCACCTGATATGCCTCCGTGGCACGGAAGACACGGAACACGACTCGCGCTCGGCCGGATTCCTGGGGTCTAGACCGCACCCGCCCTGTCGCCCTCCCGACCGCTGGATCTTTCACCTCGGTCTTTCCGTGGTCATTCAATCGTCGAGCCTCGACTCGCGCGCAGTGCACGGAAGACCATGATACATATAGCACTGAAGATGGCCACCGTTCCTCATCATGTCCTGCCCTTCTGCCTCTTCCGGCTCATCGTCTTTTGTTTTGGGTAGTGCCCGACACGCCCAGGTGCCCTCGCCGGCCCTCCTCCAACTGCTTAGAATGAAGCTCGACTGCCACGTCATCCGTGCGTCTTCCCACCTCGTCCGCTATCAGCCTGTAATAGATGCTGATTCAAGTACAGGCTACGTCGTCGACTGCGTCTGCTCGACCGTCGACTACGCCCTCGACACCGGGTGCCCCGTCCTCCCCGCCCGGCGCGCAAGGTTCGAAGCCTTCGTCTCCACCGTCCTCACCCGCGCCGAGACGCGCATGCCCGCGCTCCTCGTCGCCCTCGTGTACATCACCCGCGTGCGCCCGCACCTCTGCGTCGACGCGGACGAGTGGGCCTACGAGCGCGTCTTCCTCGGTGCGCTCGTCTGCGCGGCCAAGTGCACGAGCGATGTGCACCTGAAGAACGCGCACTGGGCGCTGTGCACGGGCGTGTTCAGCAAGTGGGACGTGGGCCGCATCGAGCGCGAGTTTCTTGATGTGGTGGAGTGGCGGCTTGGGGTGCGAGAGAAGGATCTGCTGGCGCATTATCCGGGGCTTATGGCTGCGACTGCGTCTGCGTCAACGCCGACTTCGGATGCAAGCGAGGAGATGAGGATGGTCTACCCGCCCCCGCAACTCCCCCACCAGCGCTCGCACCACCCGCACGAGCGCCACCGCTCCCCGCCCTCCTCCGTCCCCGTGCTCGAGCCCTCCTCCCCTTCCTCCTCACCACACAGCAGCCTCGGCAGCCCCTCCCCGCGCACGCCGCCTTCGCCTCCCCCTTCTGCTTATCCCCCGCTCAGTGCCGCCGTGTATCCTCACCCCGCTGTGCACACCGCCACCTACCCCTATCCCCACCCCGCCGCGCCCGCGCCCGCGCACAAACGCCGCCCCGCCGACGTGCCCATGGACGTCCGCGGCGACGAGGACGAGCTCGCTGTACCTGCGCACGGGGGCGGGGACTTCGATGATCTGCTGTGTGCGTTTTCGAGTCCACGGACGCGGAGGGCAAGACATTGGGCGTAGCATCTGCGCAGCGGTCCGTTGTGGTGTATGATTTTGCGAGTGTATGATTGTGCGAGGCGATCCGCGGTGCGCTGTATGATTTGCTCGGCGGAGATTCAGCCCGGGCGTGGCTGCGACGCACTGCGCGGCACGACATCGCCTCGTCCCCGCCGGCGTTGTATGGTACCTGGATCTCGCCTGGGCTCTGGACGCGCCGAGGTACCCGCCGCACCGCCGCACGGCCGATGTCTGTCGTAACCGCGGCATACCGCACACGGGAGGCAGAGGCGAGATATGTACGGGTCTTGTCTGCATTGGGCGGGGGTGGGATCTTCCTCCTCCCTGTTCGTGATGGTAGACGGCGTCAATTGCAACTGTACATAGGTACGATACTACGTTCTGGACTGTTATTAGAGTATCGATGCTATGCATAATGTACTATACCCTGTATTTGTATCCCTATCCCTACCTACCTTTACATTTGTACTCGTATGTATCAATTGGATTATGGTGTACACAAAATGTGATTACGATCAAGAGGATTCTGAGGAAAGGGCACATCCCAATATTAATGCCGCAGTCGTGATCCAAGCTATCAGGAGGGTTTTTCTCGAAGGCAATCTTCCGACCACCATGTCACTTTTTTGGACTTTGTATCACGGCGTCTTCTGGAGTCTGGGACCCAAAGCATCGTCCGGGGTGCTGATGCGCGGTGCATCCCCCTGGTGGATTCAGCTACGGCAAGCTGCTCAGCGGGCTCTGGACTGCGAACGCCTTCAATCATCTCCTGCGCGGTTTTTACTCGCACTCCTCTCTGGTCCATTCGGCACGCACTTGACTCGGATTCTGGCTCATATGTTTTTTTCTGCCCCTGCCTCTCTGGTTTTCCGAGCTCAGCTCGATGGCGGGCCTCCGCTCGATGGGTTTTCCTGGCTCCGCCTGATGGGGACGCGGACGGCACCTCACCACGTCGCTTTTTGGAACGTCAAACCCTGGCTTCTCGTGGACTCTGGGACCCAAAGCATCGTCCGGTGTGTTGATGCGCGGTGCATCCCCAGGTGGATTCACCAACGTCGAGGCACTCAGCAAGCTTCTCTGGACTGTGAAGGCCTCCGCTCGTACTCTTCTCGGGCCTTTTGACCTACTTGCCTCGGACATCAAGACCTTTTGTTCTACCGTCGCGACCACCTTTTGGTTCCGAGCTTTCCAGTCTCGATGCCGAGCCTCTGCTCGAAGGAGGTCCGCGCTTCCCGCCTGATGGATTCTTCTCATATCCATGCGCGTGGTTTCTGAACCATCTTTTGCTCGACGGGTTTTTCTTCTGCTGGTACTCTGTATCTGACAAGTCTGCCCATGCTTTTCCCCTTCAACAAGGGTCCCTTTCCTGCACTGTTCTTTCGAGAGCGGTCTTGACACAAACCCTAGTTTTTCTCTTCGGAGTACTGGGCTTGTTGCATACATCTACAGAGGGAAACACCCACGACAGCTTTCTGGGTACTGGTGGACACTGGGGAGTTTTGCCGGGGAGGAGGGAACTCCTCTCGTACACCAGCTATTTATCAGTGGCCAGGTCCCACGAGGTTGCACCCAGTGGTCCCACCTATTCAGGGCCAGCCAATTCGCGGTAAGTCAGCGTCTTGTGGTTATGGACCCCCTGGAATGATGTTGTGCTCCATTGGCATCTTGGAGATTTCTGTGAGGATAACCACCCGTACAGTACTTCATGTTTGTCTTCGTTAGACTCATTGTTCATGTTGTGGACTACACGAGTATAATAATCCCCCCCTTGGGTAGTTGAAAATCAACCAAACGGGCTCACTCAGGAAATTATCACAGTACTGAAAGGGCACATCCCAACATTAATGCCGCAGTTGTGATCCAAGCTATCAGGAGGGTTGTTCTTTTGGTTCCGTTGGGTAGTTGAAAATCAACCAAACATCAAGCAAATCATTTCGTCAAGGAATCAACCACTCACACCATGGCCTTACACGTTGTCAATGAGCCCATCGGTTCGATGGTGTAGTTGGTTTATCACTTCTGTTTTACATTCATGTTCACAGGCGGTCCTCGGTTCGAGCCCGGGTCGAATCATGTTTTGCCCGCCACCCTTGATGTTTTCGTGCGAGCGCCCAACTTCGAACGACTTCGAACCGGATGCTTATGCAGAACACATGGCGCCGTCTCCCGGGACATTCATCCTCCTTTTTTGTCGTAGGAACTTTGGCCTTTGACTCAACGCTCCGAACCGAACTAAACACAGACGCGCAATGAGCGAGCACCTAGTGGACGATGCCTGGCATCGACCCCTCGACAGGCGCAGGTTGTATGTAAGTTACCCGTTTCCATGTCGAAAAGGCCACTGGAATGCCTTGAATCCGGCCGACGGAATTACTCCTAATGCTCAGCTGACAATAGATACTTGAACTACCGGTGGTATTTTGAGCTCATCGGTCAAATGGAGCTCAACCAACAAGTCAAGCGGCAGTTGGGTGGTCCAGTGAGGAATCAATTCAGGGGTTCACAGTATTGATAGAATGGCTCGACCACGCGTGGGACCGTGAACTGGATCATTCCACAACTCAAGGTCGTCTGCACCCAGTGGCAGTGGTACACGATGCCGTCGATGAACGAATATGTTCAACCCCGTTGTCTACCGCGACCGCAACCGTGAGAGCAGACACCACCGGTTCGATGGTGTAGGTGGTTTATCACTTCTGTCTAACATTCGTGTTCACAGGCGGTCCTCAGTTCGAACCTGGGTGAAATCGCTTTTGCTCCAGCTTACCGTCCATGTAAGCTTACCTTCTTTTGCTGCTTGCTTGCAAGCGCCTTATCCTTGATCAGTCATTCATCAATTCCTCTTGTTGAACGACCACTGCGGGCTGTAGATGTCTGTGGCTCACTCCGACGTAGCGCCGACTATTACTTAGTCGGCACTCGGAATAGATGATCAGTGTGATTGTTGTGCCGCGGAACTGCAGAAATTCAAAACTTCAGCCTTTCAGGAACTCGGACCGGCGTGGGAACCATCATGTTTGGCAAAGCATCCACCGCTGACTAAACCTCTCGTACCACCACCACCTTCACGCGTCGTCGCTGCGAACGCCTTGCCACATCGAACACCGCGCAATATCGCATCCGCAGCCTTTTCCGCCCTCACGCGTGCGTGGCAGGACTGCAAAAGATAAGTTATCGGCGTTTCAGCCGGCGCTGCGGCAGGCTGCAGCGTGATTTCCTCAAGGCTCATTATTATCCAAGCTCGCGTTCCTTCGTCCAGTGACTCCAGTTGTAGCCTCAGTTTCGACATACTCTCTCGGTGTTCCGACCCTGTTACCTTTGGCCCGAGTCTGTTTCTCCTCTTGTGGTTTCCCACTGCGGGAATTCTTCCATGGTGGCGTGTATGCCGATCTTGCGGTGGCGCTAAATGCCGACATAATGAAGGAAGCTGAGGACTGTACTTAGTCGTCGTCTTCATTTGCCGCACGGTATGACGCAACGGCACCTCCCTACAGCTATCTCAGGACCGAGGTGCTGGAGTCGCGAGCCGTCCAACGAAATCCTGCCGCTCTTGAATCTGACTGACACTCATGCGTGGACCAGATCCACCTTTAATTCACCTCGACTCATCCGTCATGCAGCACTTGTCCAGCTCCCAGGCGGCGGAACAGTATCAAGGACTTGCAGGCTTCAAGACTTTTCTGCAACGTCTGATTTGTGTATTATTATCCAGCGCCGTCCCACCTGTCGTCAGAGTACTGATTGTGTTTGCAGGTTCTCGGCCCGCGGACTTTGTTTACACCCACCTTGGCCCTCTTTGTATCGAACTTTAAACCATACAATGATCCCCGTCGGTGTGAGCAGCCTAAATTTATGGAGGTGCACATTTATCTCAGGTGGCGGCTATACCGGGGAGCCAAACTTGATAGTAAGCACTGCGTATTATTGACACCACTTTAATCCACCATTCACATGGATTGCGGCAGATATCTGTCGGTAACCAAGGTTTGCACGCCCTCCCGTCCGTCGCAACCCGCTACTTGTCGTTCTTGTCCCAATCCTGATGCGAAGAGCACAGGTCGGGCCCGAAACTACACCGATGTTTGTTATGACAGATATGACTTGCGATAGATCCTCGGTCGCAGAATTACGGCTACGGCTACCATTTCAATCCCTGGGAAAAGGGGGACTTGCTTCCGGGTCCAGCTAACTGAATGACGAGCACCGGATTGTCGGGGACCCGAGGTGAGTACACATGCGAGATCTGCTGGTGCGGTCGGTGCCCGCAGCCTACCCGCATAGGACGGCAGTCCGAAAAGTTCATAGCGGACGACTGAAATGGGTTAGTTCGGGTTTTCCTGACCGCTGTTCCATGCCATTGACTAGCTGTGACGGATGATCACCAGACAGGTGCCGCGGGAGGCAGGTTGCGCGCACTCGATTACGGATCGTGACGCGCCTTCGGGGCTGCTGTCGCTGATACACTCGTTCTTATCGTTGTCCTGCATCGCCGTCTCGCCTAAATCAAGCCCGAGGACATCGATCGCAACTGGGACGAGCTGGGAGTTGCCGAGCCCAGTCGGCAGTGAAGCTTTCGGTTCCTCGTATAGCCGGGCTTTGCCGGCAACCCTCAACCCTTCGACCAGAATTCCGAATTCGTGAAGAATTGAAGAAGAAGTCTGAAGAACAAAAATGATTTTGTTGTCCGAAAGCCGCCGCTCTATGCTTTCGCGGATTCAGGTAGAGAGTTCTCGCATTTAATCCTCTGGCTGTGACTTCGGACGTGTGCTGACGGTGGATCCTCAGCTCGCGCCGATCACTTCCGTATGCCTGATTCTGACGACAGCTAAGGATAGCGTCTGTTCTACACAAATTCTTTGAAGGGGTAACGATTTTTCTCACAGCTTATGGCGGAAGACGGCGATATCGAGAAGACGGCAGTAGAACCATCAATCAAATGAAATGTGCGAAAACAGCAGTCTTAGCCCATCGGCGGCTAGAGACGTCGCTTCGCGGAATCCGACTTCTTAAGCCCAGCGCATCGCACTCTGATCTAATCCCCCCTCCTTCCCCCCGCCCCTCCCCTCGCTGTGAAGGATACCGCTGAGGTACACATCGCCGCCCGCCTCCGTCGTCTTACACTAACGCTCCAGGATTAGTTTCTCGCGACCCTTCTCGGTCTCTACCCTCCCGCCACCCCGTATCACCGCAGGCCCCCCGCAATCCTACAGAACCCCCTCGGTATCACCTTTCCGCATACACGCTGTATATACAAATGCCCGATAACGCGCCCTCGCCCTCAGGCTCCTCTGCCTCCGATGGATCTGCGTCTACTGGCCCGCCATGTACCCCGCCATCTACCACGCTCCCGTTTGTGATGCCGACATTTATGAACTTTACCGGAGACGACACGATCGACGGCGCCATCGGTGCAAAGCGCACCTGCAAGACGCACCGCGTCAGTACTGCCGAGCGGCGCGCGACACACAACGCGGTTGAGCGACAGCGCCGAGAGGCACTGAACGGGCGATTTTTGGTAAGTCTACCTGCGGCTTTTGTTTCGATCGGGGTTTATCTGTGTTCTTCAGGACCTAGCCGCGTTGTTATCGAATCTCAACCAGATTCGTCGTCCGTCAAAATCCGCCATTGTCAACTCTTCCATCGCACACCTGAACGCTTCGCGCCGCCACCGCATTCTTTCCGCACAGCAATTGCGGATGATGAAGAACGAAGCCGATGCACTACGGCACGAGGTAAACGAGTGGCGTGCACGCGCCGGCGTTGCCTTTGTCGAAGAGCCCATGCGCGGCGACGCGTTTGGCATCGTTCTCCGCGGCGAGCTGGAGTTTGAGGCGGGTGATATGCTTGAAGGCGACTCGGGCGAGGACGACGAGGAGGCCAGTGGGATATACGGTGCTCCACAGCTACCCCTCGAGCCAGAGGATTATAAGCTGCTCCAGCGCCAGCATCACGAGCGCACCGAAAGGATTGCACCCCACCCTGAGATGCAGCAACTCCCATTCCCGCACGATGTGCACCCACCTACACCTGCTCATGCGCTCCACTCCCAGGGCTATCCGACCCCCACGCAATACGCTGATTACTATACCACCTCACCGACCATCCCCGGCCCCGGCCTCCCAGCGTTCGATGACCCCGCAACGGGTGTGATCTACGAACACGCCGCCCACCCCGCCATGCAAGGCCCTAAATGGGCCCAGCAGGCTCAGCAGCAAATGCTCCACGCTCACTACCACCAGCAGCAACAGCGGCAGGGACGCTGGTGAATCTGATTCACCGTCCTGTCACTGCCTTCACGTTCTTTTCTCCTGTTTCCTAGCTCGACCATACCAACCAATTGCTGGTCTCACAGCCTTGGTTACGAATCCAATGTTGTACAACTGTTATATTCAGTGAAATCCTATCCCCTCCGGATTACCTAAAGCTTTCTTTGCCATTTCTGCGCTAAATGATAGGCTGCGGCAGGCGGTCTGAAGTGAGGTCATATCGAGGGCTCCAGTTAATTTGGCGTCATCTTTTCCAACACCGTCGTTCTTGCATTCAACTCCCATTCCATTGATAGTTGTCGAGCCGGTGGTCACCGTGTCAGGTTCGAGATCCCCGGCAGCAGAAAACGGTGTTTAAAACGCTTCACCGCGAACCAGGACATACCTAGACAGATGGATGCCTACCCCGTTGCAACATGCGCGGGCTAATTTAATGAGCAGAGACTCGCCGCGCAAAATGACATGTATTTTCTCACTAGGTCCCAGGCTACGGCAAGAGCAGGATGCCCGCTGATTAATTAAGATTAGCGGTCTTTAATTCCATTGCAACCCGACGGGCGGGTGCTTCGAAGGGTAGGAGGTAAGAAAAGCTGTTGAAATGCGCCGGGTGACATAAATGCTATCGCATCTCAACAAATTCAGCCCTCTATTGCCGCTTCGGAGTTCTGGCTCGCGTTCCCCTCGCAAGTTCGACCGCCAGCAATAGTGACTCACTGCTGTCTCGATAAACATTCGCTCCTGAGATAGATACATGGAAGGTCGACCCATTTCAATTTCCATATGGTCTGGACATTTCTGCGGCTCCGTGGACCAGCATTCCAACTCGCATCCGTTCGTCGTGATTTTCCTTGCCCTCTGGCTATTAAAAGCACAATCACTGTTATCCCAAATTTTGCAGACGGTGTTACATTCGAAAGAGTGGCTCATCCCGTGACATTCCCGCCAAATTCTACATGACAGAACAAAAAGGAGTAGTGGTTTTGATTGATTTTTGAAGGATTCCAAAAGGATTCGAACTGATGACGCCGCCCCAGAGAAAGAACATCGAGCGGGGTATCGACTCCCCATTTTTCTACTGCCAAAGAGCTAAACTCAGGTAAACTGTGGAATAATGAATATCGAAGTAGGGGTGCTCAATCCTCAGCTCGTTCAGCTCAGGAGAGGAGAGTCGATCAGGCCCAAAAGAATTTGAGAAGCTGCACCGCCACCATGCTTCCTTCCCCAATTGGGCTTCGGCCATTGCCGATGGACCCTTCGCCTAGACCTTCTCCGTGTTCCTCCGTCGCCCCTACCTGACCCGACCAAATGTCGTACGGCCATCATTCCATCATCATCACTCGATCATTCCGGCGAGCGTGACCCCGCCTTGACAGCGCAACCCACGCCACACCACGCCTTCAAGTTCTCCGTCGCCCCTCGTGTTCTGGGCTTGGGCGCGAGGCCTTGTCCCCGACGGAGAGTCTCCCAACTGCGAGGTTCCGCGG